AGCAGAGTTCTAAAACCGAGTGTAATGATGGAAATGACTCTCAGTAATGGTAATATCCACACATTCGAAGTTCCAATTTCAAAATTTCAAGAACTCCGTTACAATATTTCGTATGTTTTAAAAGAAATGGAATCGTTAGAAAAAAGAAGCATTTTACGATTGGCAGATTAAATCAGAAATTGTTTTTAATTCCAGAAGAATTTCCCAGTTTATTTTTCTTTCTTCTTGGAGCAGAGAATAATAATGGATTGGACCGTTATCACTGAAACAAAATAAATGTAAAATTACAAAGAAAATAACAGACACCACTGATGCTCTGACTCAACAGATCAATGCCAACCAGATTATCCAATTTTTACAGAATAACAGGTGTCACGTAATAATAAATAAATCCGTTCTGACCCATTAGTTATGCTGCACATCTCGAAGTATTAGGATTTATTTTATTAGAAACTTAAATGAAATGTGAATTGTTAAACATTTGCAAGAACAGCGAGAAATTGAAGTAAAAAGTGTCCCATGATAGCAAAAGCAAAGTATTTTTGAAGTCTAGCCGGACTGAAAGTGATATAACGGTTTATTCGAGAAATCGGTGGTGTACATAATCATTATTTAATTTCAAGTCATTGTGCATTTGTATTGCTCTTTAAAAAAAAGAAATGTCTCGAATTATTTTTTCTTTTTTGTTTTTGATTTTGTTTAAAAAAATTTTTTTTTCTTTTTTTCTTTTTAACCGGATACTTGCAGTAAAAAGCTGGAAATACTGGCGTTGGTTATTGATTTAATTTAGATTAATTCTTTGAAAATTGGTATTTCTGCATTTTTTATTAAGTGGAAAATTTGGTAAGCTTTTGATCAAATCACCCTTCAAGTATGTCAGTTCCCCTCTGATCATTGAAATATGAAAAATATCACATAAGTATGGTGATGGATCAACCTACTGTAAATGACTTTGGAGAAACTAACTAACTAAACAAAGTTTAGTAAATAAACTATGAGGATGTTAATTTGAATAATTAATTACTTTTTCTTTGATTTTTTAGTGTAGGCAGAACTTATTATAAGTGAATTCTTACTAAAACATTACTGAAGATGGAAGCTCAAATTCACTTTAAAATTTAAGACAAACAAAAAGTTGTTTTCATGGTATTTATCTGGAGAATTAGAGCAACTTTCTATTTTGTTTTGTAAGCTGAATAGGGTACAAGATCATCATTATTGTAACTACAGTAAAACCACAATTTAAAGAGTTAATTCTGGGAGGAGTGTGTTCCTTAAATCTGACAAATGTCTCATTTTGTAAAGAAGTAAGTTCTGTAGATTACTGCATTTAATGTATACCATTTTGCTAAATCCCAAACAATCAGCATGCAAATGACCAATGTTATGTAAATCTGTATAAAACAATCTTACATGCATTTCCTTGATCAGATTGAGAAGGGTTTTGGAACTGTAGATGTGCAATCTGCATGGTAATTTACTTTGTACTTATATCTGAGACTTAAAAAAAATTTCCCAAGTTTCATATGTAAATAATCCTGTCTTGATGTGTACAATGCTAACAGGGTTATCAGCACTGAGCTTTAAAAAAAATCCAGTTGTGATTTTTGTTACCTGTCAAGGTTGTTTCTTTTCTTACTATCAGAATTTAACAAAATTGGGTTTTTATCCAACTTTACAGATTACTCAAAGTTTAATTTCTAAAATCTGTTGAATAACAAACATGAAAAAAATTGTGTCATTCATTTTTTGATTTTCCAAAATCCATGTAATATGTGTGAGGAGTCAGCAGATAGGATACAATCTGACAAATTTTAGACGGACTAGAGTTAAAAAAAAAAAAAAAAAACAACACAATATCTGAAATTGGCAAGATGTTTTTATATCCTGATAACCATACAGCTCTTTCTTACTCACCCCCACCCCCTCAGTAAAAATAAAGTCAGTTAGGGATCCATGAATCGTTCCTGAAATCCAATATTTCTTAAATTGAGGTTTTACTGTAGTTTGATCAATTCTATTTTTCATAATTTTTATTTGAGAAATTTTTGACAGTAAGTCTTTAACAGAATACAAAAGCATTTTTTCCTGACTGCGAAAATAGAAAAATTAGAAGTAGAAAATTTATTTTTTGGCTTAGTGTTTATTCTATACAAAGAAAAATTATAAATACACAGGGCAAGCATAATTTTTAAGTTTAATTCCTAAAGCAAGAATTGCTAGTTTTTATTTTTATAGTAAAATAGGAACAAACAGAAAACCTTATAAATCAAACAGGTTGGACTTGTTAAAGATAAAGTGTGTGTGTATATTTTCAAACATTGCTAAATATGACAATGAATGTCTTATGTTTGACCACGAGCTGTTCTAAGCTTAGTATAATGGCTTTAGTTTTGGGAGAAAAAAAAAAAAAAAAAAAAACTGTCCAATATGATAGCTGAAAGCTTAGATCGACAAACAAAAAATATCCAAATGTTGGACAGTTTGTTTATTTTTGCCTGAAAATAAAGCCACAATGCAAAGCTTAGAGCGACTCATGATCAAACAAGACATTCATTGTCTGTTATATTTAACATGTTTGAATAATGATCTGCTGCCCCCAATATATTTATATATAAACCTTTTCTTGCTAAGATAATATCTAAAAATATTAAAATAGTGATTAAACATCTTAATACAAATCTTCTATATTTTCTTTAACACCTAAATATAATTTGAATTCTAAGTACTCATTAATTAATTTAGATATACCTATTTCATTTTTTTTATGTACAAATCTCGTCTGTTTAAATATTTTAAAATTTTATTGAGTGCCAAAAATTTTTTCAAAGTAACAATGTTGCAATAGTCATGGTGGAGTTCCAATTTTTTTTTTTTTTTACAGAGCAAAACATGGACAAAAAGATTTTAAATATAAAACTGGTTTTTGCAAATTCCATCTGATATAATTGGTTCAGAGATTTTATATCAACCATGTTATCTGTTGCTGTTTTATACCCAACTACATTTATAGCTAAACATGTAAAATGTTTTATAATAGCCATAAAACTTCTTTGTTTTAATTTTGGTAAATTCTTGAAATCAGTGATACCAAGCATAAGTTCAAGATAAACTTTGCTCAAATAATTTCTGGTCCAACCCTAAATCATATGGTATTTTCTGTACTAGCTAACTTGTTATATTCTGATGAGATTATATCTCTAGATACAAGTTACATATTTTAATGTGTTAGTTATATACAGCTGTACTTTCTGACTACTGTAAATGGATATAGTTTGGCTAACAGCATTACCAGGGCCAGCAGTACATATGCTAATTTTATATTTTATGATGCAATGGTCTTAAAATTAGCTTCAAAGTTGCGTGATATACTTTCATGACTTTTAAAGTTAACTTTATATGGTAAATGTAATTGGAGTTGCCCTTTAGTGTATCTTCACAAATTTAATTATTTATTTGTTTTTCTTTACCCTTTATTATAACTTGAAACTTCATAAGCCTAAATGCAATTAAAAATTTTAAGTGCTATGGCATAATAAAAATATTTAATGATTCCTGAGGAAATTGTTAAAAAAGATGGTAGCACATTGAGTTTTCAAATACTTTAATGCTTGTAAATATAAAAAAGTGAAATGAAGTTTATTCTGCTTCCAATTCTTATGGCTGAAGACAACTGAATAGCTGTCATTTTAATGATTTCCATTCATAGGGCTAGAGTTACTGTGCACTGTTAAAATGTTTTTGATCAAGCCTTTTACAAGGGAGATAACTTACACTAGAAAGTAATGATTAAGATTCTTTGATTTGAACAATCCCCCCCCTAAGAGTACATATAATCTAGTTGACCAACAACGAAAAAGTAACATTTTCACAACTTAAAAGGTTGCTTAATTTCATAGTATTTTACCTATATGATTAAAAAAAAAAAGTGACCCATTTTTTTTTTTTTTTTTTTTTACTGTTCGACTATTTCAAAACTATCCAGAGATTAAAAAAAAAAAGACAAAAGTTTGGAAACATACCATTTTTTGCGGGGGTACCCATTTTAGTATAAAGAAATTTTATCAAGAATTCAACAAATCTTAACATCCATATTTTAAATATTCCATGACATTCTATTTTGTTTAAATAGACAGTAAATCCATTTAGGAAAAGGAAAATTCGTGTACATTTCAAATTGCAATAGGATCTTGTTCAGAAAGATTAATTCTTTTTAGTATTCACTAAGCTAGATTATTTTTCAAGTGAGAAGAGCTGATGGTAAGAAAATGAAAAACAGTGATAATGAAGTTGGCCATTTTTAAATTAAAAACAAAAATCAGCTAACCTTATTGTCAGCAATAACTCACCCACAAGATCCAAACAGGAAACCAACATTATGAATTTACACATCACTTTAATTAATTGTATTCTTCACAAAAAATTCATTACACCCACTTGGTTACCAAGATTTTGCACATCTTGAACCATAGCAAACCTGTCTGCAACATACTTGTGGAAAATACTATAATAGACTCACCCACATGCAAAAAGCTTAAAAATAAAGCTAACTCAATTGTACAAAATATGAATGTGGCCACAAGATGCAGTAACAAAAACACACCCTTGACACACAAAAAAAAAAAAAAAAGTCTATTCACAGTGCCTTGGCAATCATTTTCAATGAAACTTAAGTATCTGGTAGGCTACTGGTAGTTGTATGGAGCTCCATGAGACTAAGATTAAATGTAAAGAAGCATTTATATACTTTTTTTTTTTTTTTTTTTTTATTATTATTAAAAGATAGGAAGCACCCACTTTGAAAATGGAATCAAAGTTTATTCATATATTCCAATTCTTGTAAAACCAAGATCTTATTTTAAAAGAAAAACAAACAAAAAGAAAACATTTTTCTAAAAATGTTTATTTAAAAATAAGATAATTTGTTTAAAATAAAATAAAAAAAAACTAAAAATTGTTCACTTCTTTTTTGGAGGAGCTCTGTAACATCCAACAACTACTGCATGGTCTCTCTCATATGGCTCCAATGTAAGCTGTTCAAGTGGCTTGATTTTTTCTGATCTAAGTTTGGAAACTTCTCCAGCAAATACAGCTTCTGGTTCAGCAGTAGAATCAATACAATTAGCCTAATAAAAAAAAAAAAAAAAAAAAAAAATTTAAGTATAAAATCAATCAGCTTAATCTTTATCAGTGACTAGACAATTTTAGTACATTTTAATTAGCTTGAAATGAAGCCCTATCATAACATGTTATTTCTTGGTACCAGCAGCAAACTAAAAGATTTATTCCTTTACTAATGTAGCCTTGTACCATAGCAAAGTTGGTTCTAAATTGAATACACCATTTTTTCTAGATATTGTCTTTGGATGTTTATTCTTTTAAATACTGTGTGAGCGATATGCAATCAACAGCAACTAGAAGCCCTTTTAATGCATTATCAAATATACTATATAAACTCTCATATCATGCGACTTTTGAAGTCACAATTTTAAAAAGGAGTTGTATTATACACAAGATAAAATTAACATATGTCTTGCTGGCCCTGGCTACCCTGTTGACCAAACAATACACCTACTTACTGTAGTCAAAAAGTACAGCTGTATTTAAAATAAACACGATTTTCATAAAACTGATGTTTTACTTAAATGTGTCCAATAATAATGCATGTGATATTCACACATTATAAAAAACAAACAAAAACATAGCGAATATGCATCTTCCCTATCGTTTGTTTAGCCATTTCTTATTTGGCTGTATGGGTTTAACAATTATAGTGTTACTAACAATACTTTTTATATCATTCTCTTATTTTTTTTAATTAGAGATAGGATAAAGAGAGAGAAAGAGCAAAAGAGGTTAGTCTACTGTAACTTGAGACAAAAAAAAAAAAACTTGCATAATAAAATCATTTCTTACAAGTGAAAATTTTCAGTCATGCATCACGTGCATATATATATAACATACACACAAGTAATATCTGTTTTCCCCTTTGCAAGTGATCCCCTGGCATTATCTCAAATAATCAGCCATTCCATTTTGAAGCTGACAAAAGGCAAAATATGTTGGAAAGGAAATGATACTAATGAAATATAATATCAAATTGAAAAGAATTTTGAACATGCCCCTGCCATTACCTCTGATAAATCAGACTGTTCCATTTTCAAAACAGATAATGCTGTCTGATTTTAGAAAAATAAAGCCCACATAAAAAAAAAGCAAGAGAGTAAGCAATAACACTCTCAGGTACATGCCTGCTTTAATGAAATGGAAAGAAACAAAAGATTATCCTATATACTAATATTGCATACCAACAAACAAGGGAGAATAGAATTATTACTAAGAATATTGTTCAAAGTCTTCAGGACAAATGTGTATAGGTACATCCACTGAATTTTTGAAACATAAGGTTTAAAACAAATTTTTAAAAATGAAAAAGCATTCATGAAGATTTAAGTTTAGCTTTAATTTAAAGTTAAATGATTAAATTTAATATTTCCAGTAAAATATTCTGGTGCATTTTAGACATTACTAGCAGTATGCGCCGGTGTTGCCCGTGCTTGATTCAAAAATCGTATGATTCATACAGCAGTCGCTATCACTTAAAATATCTTTGCCCTTCCTTGCCTTTAAAGGAGTGCCCTTTGCTGTGCTGATGTTGCTACATGCCTTACTTCTTGCCTATCTCACACTGCAAATTTTTTCTAAGCTCTATACTAAACATTAAATCTGTTACGAAAAAAGAACTAAACAAAATGAACACAAAACGATCAGCTTTAAAAAAAAAAAAAAAAAAAAAAAAAAAAAAAAGGACTCATAATTGGAAAAACCGAATGAAAACAAGAATGTTAAATACTTTTTCACACCCAACCCAGTTCTGCAGAATCAGAATCAACGTTGAGTTTAAGCAAGCGAATGAGCCAACTGGAGTAAAGTGCCATGCAGATTAGAATTTTTCCCCACTTGTGACGAATGCAGCTATCAATTTTTTTTGCATGCTAGTTAACATTTACATTATTCGGACTATTGTCCTCATCTTTGTCGCCATATTTATCACAACGTTTCAACTGTTGTACGCTCCGGCCTTCTTCAGGTGGTTGGAATTTCGAACTGAACCCTTTATTTTGCTCACTGGGGTAGACTGTTCTAGTTCCACGTGCCATGTTTGCTAGTTAACAATCGTGTCAGTCAGCTGTTGGTTCTCACACTGGCCAATAGAATCTTCCTGTCTATTCGTGGCAGCCAGCTATTGGCTCTCACTCTGGCCAGTACAAAATGGCTGCAAACTACATGAAGCATGACAAAAAAGAAAAATCAATTATTTCCACTATCGATGGGAATTGAGAAATACAAAGTTGGTCTTGGCCTTCCCACTAACTTGGAGCATGTGCATGTAAATTTTGGTGCAAATCCCAAAATTGCAGCCGTGCATTCATTACACACACACACACATCCTGCCTTTTATAGATAGATATAAATAGGAATTTCAACTTTTTGGCTGATTTCAGAAAATCTTATAAGCAACCATTTTCTTAATCTTAAGAAATTTGTAAACAAAACAAAATTATTGGTTTTAAAAATCTTCCAAAAATAAAATATATTTGTGACATGTTATTTGAGTAAAATTAGAAAATTTAAAGTTAAATTAATCTGATTTGAAAAAAATATTACTTCTAGCATAAAAAAAAAAGTAATATACAAGCATTTTTTAACAGGCCCTGTTTTTATCTTTATTGATGTATCAATAAATTCTGAAGTGATAATAGCTAGTATGGATGACCAGAATTGATATAAATCTACAAAGCCTAAGTGAACGTGATTTCTTATTTGGTTTTTAACGACTTAGGAATTTTTTAGAAGTTAACATTATTAGCAATTATTTAATATTTTGACTTTTAGTTACATTTCAAGATGCTTTATGAAAATTGGGTTTTGTCTCTAGGTTTTTAAGTTTACTAAAATTAATTGAAGCATGACCAAAACTAAAATAAAACTTTATTGAAATAGTAATTAAAGTAAAACTTACTTCGAAATTTTGAAGGGATGATTTGCAAAGACTGAATGAAATTGAAAGAATTGTAGAGCACCAGATGTCTTAAATCCTGTGACCTTTTAAAGGATATCATTTATGACTTACCATAGTTAGAAATTGTGAACGTTTATACACTAAATTTTTTAATCTTTAAAAATATTTGGGTACAAATGACTTGAGCTTTTCAATTTTTGATCCGTAAACAGTTTTTGCTTAACAATATCACCTAACCACTGCCTTGAAGTAATGCAGAATTTTAAATGAGAATATTGGAATAAGTTTTCTCACCTTGATTGAAATGACAACATGGCCGCTGTTTTTCAAGAAATGATGTGCATTAAGAGCAACAATTCGAGCTTGGTCTGGTTGAGCAACATCAGCAAAAATGGTGTCTACCATTCCTAAAGAGAAATATATGAATAATCAGTCTTGTCTGGGGACCCCTTCCCTGATGCAGGGAGAAAAAAAAAAAAAAAAAATTTAACTGCCTTCATTCCTTGAAAATGTTAAAAAAGCAATGATTAGAATTTTAATAAAACCTAAACATATGCAAGTGAATAAGCACTATTAGATTGTTTATTGCCAATTGGTTCAAACTTTATAAACAACATTGCCAAGGAATGAAGATAACTAAAAATAATAGTGTCATGAAGAATTATTATATTGACACTTTTTGTGGTCAAAAAGGTTAAATGATCAATTTTTAAACCATCAAGATGTTTAGATATAAAATTACAAATTAAAATGTGGTGTAAAATAACAAACTAAATGATCTACTTACCTACAAGCATTCTGTACTTGAGAGGGTGTCTAGCATCTTCTATGATTGGAACTATGTTGGTTCGCTTAGTGGCCACATTCAAGAGGTCCCGACCACTCCGATGTGAGAATTCGACAGCATATACCAAACCTTCCTGAAAATGAAAACTTACTGGTTAAAAATACAAACGTTCTAATAAAAAGTGTCACGAGAATTCTCAGGATAAACAAAAGGACTACCATTTTTTTCAAAGTAGATCTCTAGAAGTTTGAGACATCAGTATAGACAATTGAGTTTGTATTCAGTTTCTCTTCTGGCTGCCTCACAAAGATAGAGAACACTTCTCCATTATTTAAGACAGATGAGGAGGGTAGAAATGATAGATTCATACTAAACCCAAGAGAATAAATACAAAATCTATACAACAGATTATCAGAACAAACTTGGCTGACTAAATTCATGACCACTATATCACCCACACAACAGAGTACAAGGCAAAAATAAGAACAGGCTTTCATATGAGAAGTGAAAATAAAAATGTTACTTACTGGACCAACTAGGTCAGACACATGGCTCACTGTGGTCCCTGAAGCCGCACCAAGATACAAAACTTTGCTTCCTGGTTTCATATGAATATCATCAATGCCACCAAGAATTGCAGCAGCCAATTTGGACCTGAATGGATTCCAAGCTCTGTATTCTATTTTGTTTTCTCCCTCCTAAGTTTGAAAAAGAAAATAACACTTGTTTTTCAGATAGACCAAAAAAAAAAAAAAAAAAAAACGCTTTTTATATTTTATAACTAGCCTAGACAGTAAACAAGTAATGTTTTTATCACTTAGATGGTATTCATACCACTCAAGGCATTGCAATACACTGGTTGTCACTTATTCCTCATCCGAAATTCAGAAAAATTACTTTGTTTCTATTTCAAAATTACTACCACCATAAGTAGATGGTCCATATTTGAAACAGAAGTCCCATTTATTAAACAGTGTATTATGCCTTCCAGTTCACACATTCAGGAAATCTTGGTAAAGAAAAAAAAAAATGTATTCCCCAGTAAGGAACCTACACCCTCCTTTGTAGGAGAAAACATTTTGATCCAGTGTGCTGTGTGTCTCAGCCACAAAGAATGACCAGTTGGATCCCCACCGGACACACACTTTCATTCAGAGACAATACACACTGCTAAATAAGCAATAATGGGATGTCTATTTCAAATACTGTGTACCTATTAAAATAACATTTGGGAAAAAAAAAAAAAAAAAAAAAAAGTGTGCATGTGTCACTTCAAAAACATACCTACATGGGTGATACAAAATTAGAAAATATTCTATAGAATAAGGTTTGATAAACAATCTGGACATCTCAAAATCTGCCTGATGACATTTTGGTTGTCACTTAAAGGACTAAAACAGAATAAAAGTGAAAAGCAGAACTAACCTCCACTACAATCTTTTTCTCGCCATAGACTGAATCACCAACAACCATGTTTTTGGTCACAAGGGCATCTTCCTTGCCTCGAGCAATAAATACCCCTTAAGAGGAAAACAAAAAATATCCTGTTCATATATTAGCAGTAGAAAATGTAACAGGGCCATATTAGCCCACAAGGGATGTCACTTGAAAACATAAAATAAGGAAGAATATAAAAGAAAAGTCCTATCTACACACACACACGTGTGTGCATTTTATATATATATATATATATATATATATATATATATGTGTGTATATCATATTTCGACAGCAGATTTTCATTAAGACAGGTTCTGTTAAATAATTTAGACATGTTCTGTTTACTCTCAATTAAGCTTTTTTTTTTTATGCAGTTATTAAAAACGAGAGGAAAATGTGTATAATACAATATGAGTCAATACAGTGTTTCCCTCTCACCTTTTAATAACCACACACAAAAAAGTTTATCCGCAAATATGAAAAGATCCCATCGAGAATGAGTAGACAGTACATGTATGTATAAATAAAAATAAAGCACATCATGGCACCTTCTTCAATCAGTTTAATTACAGGATTAAAAAAAAAAAGATCCATGAATATGAGAGGATTAAAGTTAAAATGTTTTGTTCCTATATTAGGAGTAGAAAATGTAACAGGGCCACATGGCTTAGGAACTAGTAAATTAAAACAATACGAAATTTTTCAGATTTTTTTCAGTGATAGACAGAAACTTAATAGCAATAATTGAAAGCTCAATCTCCCAGGGCTGCATTTAATTTACTTAAACTAACCTCAACAACGTTCACATTAAATTGATTTATATTAACATTTAAAGTTACAAAACTGAAACAAAGTTGTTCTTATAGAATAATAAATTTCAGTTTGAACCAAGTCACAAATTATTAGTAGTGAAGAATATTCTGCAAAGATCTTGCTTATTGTATGGAGAAACCTGACAGCTCTGTTAGCTAAGCAGCATACTTGTACGAAAGATTTTTCATCTGTGTGTGTTGGAGGCAAACTTAAGAGTCCAAAATGTCAAAAGGGATGTTTGTTCCAAGGACTTTCACCTAATATGTTAGCTATTTTTAAGGATTTTGTACAAGTTATAACAAATTGTGCATCAGTGCTATTATTGGAAGCAGTTTCAAAGTTGTTGAAAGAGACATCTGAATTCAGCTAGTACATTGTAACAGTGTTCATAGTTGATGCTATTTTTTTGTTTTATAAGGATTTGGTTATTTTTAGACTATTCCCAATGAAAATAAGCTTTCAAATGACAGACACCTCCACTCACTTATAAAAATGGCCAAATTTACATCTCAGACCAGTGCTCAATATACACATAATTAAATGAGCATAGAAATGTACCAATTCTGAAATGAAACACACCGAGAAGATGATTGTGATATGGACTTCCAACTGCAAAAATTGCCTAAAAATAAGAACTGGACTTATCTTTCACTATATAAAGACCGGATTCCCATTCTGGCAATAAAAAAAAAAATTGGCAGAGGTAGACAACTGTATTGACATTGTTACCTAGCTGTGCTGGCCCATTTGGGGGAAAAGTGGAAAATTGCTAATTTCCGAGAATAGGGACTACGAAGATGCTGATAATTTCTCATTGCTGCCATTTTGGTTGGATACTTTACAGTATAAACTAAGCTAAATGACACTCCTAGAACTGTAAAAACAGATCTCATTGAGAAAAAAAAAAAAAAAAAATTTTTTACCCTGATGTCGATGAGGCTCGATAATTACATTTTTTCCACCTCTCATACCACCACGTCTAGCACCTGAAAGTTCAAATATACAATGTCATAAAATGAAAAATCATTTTCAATATAAAATTCAAGATTTATTAGCATGATATATTTATAATTAGAAAGAAAAAAAAAAATCATGCTACTACCAATGGAGTAATAGTGATGTCACCCCACAACTATGAAGGGTTATATTAATATTGTGACACCACAACTACTATAAAGGGTTATAGTATCATTCAATAAAAAAAAAAAAAAAAAAAAAAAAAAAAGAAAGCAGAAATAATTGGTTACATATTAGCTCTCAATGATTGATTGTAAATCTCAATTTAAGAGATTTAACATGATTTTAAATGTTTGATCAGTAGAATTATTTTATCCTGAAATTACTAAGTGGAAAACATAGCAATCACTCACCCCTGCCACCACCACCTAAAAGAGAACAGAAATAAAATCTTCAGTATTTATTCATTTAGGTGCAAACAGTAAATATTATAAAAAAAAATGTTAAGACATTAAACAAACCCCGTGGGGCTTCCAAATTTCTAAAATGAAGCTACCTTTATTTATATTTAAAAGCTGAGCATCTGCATCTTTAAATGTTTCAGCATAAACTAATAAGTGTTTGCATTTCTCCATCATTTATACATTAGATATTTCCCAGACATTCATTTTCCCTGAAAAAAAAAAAAAAAAAAAAAAAAGCTCCCAAAATTAACCTGCATATTAGCATTGAAAGGTGAAATTGTATAGCAGAGTTTGTCTACCTTCACAAACACCACTCACAAGATAAGCAATCTTGACTGACATAGGCCTACAATTGTCATATGTAATAAAAATGTTATATCCTATTAGCATTATACCATATATATTAAGTATTGATGATAACCAGTAGTCAGTCAGCTTTTTGTTCATCTTGGCATTCTGTAAGTATAATGTTGTGCTAAACTATTGAAAATCTAATTAACAATAACTGCAAATATTTAGTAATAGGTTCAAAATGTGATTTGTGACAGAGTCAACAACTTGGACTTGCTAGAATGGTAAGCTATTAAATGTTCAACCCCCCCCCCACCAAATACCTAGCTAGGGTGCATTTTTCTTAGCATATGTCAAAAATATTTTCAGAGGAAAGAAATATGACAAAGTGGAAAAAATTAACATATTCCATCAATAAAATGACCTGAAGTTTTTTTTTTTTTTAGAAAGAAAGGTGTCAGAAGTCACATACCCCCTAACTTCAATTTGTCATTCACTTATACCTGGATACAAAGATAGATATTGAGGAAAGAATAAAATAACTTACGACCACCGCCACCACGGCCACCAAATCCTCCGCCACCACGGCCACCAAAACCTCCGCCACCACCACGGCCGCCACGACTACCAAATCCTCCACGACCACCCCCTCGACCTCCAAAGCCTCCTCGGCCACCTCCTCTTGGTGAAAATCCTGCATAAACAACAAAAATGAAAAGCATAATAAAAACCCTCAAGGTTGGGGGGTTGCTAAAGTTAAACCCATACTTCCAATTAACATACCTGATGGCATATAAGGGTTTCTCACAATTTACATTTAATATATAGGATTATGGAGTTGGGTGAGGTAAGATAATCAAGTCTATAAAACAGCTGAAAAGACTCAGAAGATTGCGATGGAGTGATCTTATATGCCATCAAGTATGTTAGCTTAAATAATACACAGAAGTTTGTTTTTGAATAACTACAACATCAGCCAGAATTTATCTTATTTCTTTTAAAGAGAAAAAAAAGCACACTAAACAAAACAGTAAATATTAATTTTTGTTTCATTGATGTATATAACCACCCTTCAAATGGGGCCCCAAGCAGCCAGTGAATTAAGTGAGAAATAATCTTGTTAAAGGAAAAATTATGGATTGAATAGCAATTGTAGTAAAGTGCAGATGGGGGAGGGGGAGTTTGTTACAATAAATGAAACCAATCAGGAATAGACCCATGATTACAATGAGGCCTTCAGTGGATTAGAACCAAAATCCCTATCTCCACTTTTGCCCAAGTGGGTTAACATGTGTAGAACATAAATTTGATCATAGAAGTTATCCAAAAGCCAGAGTTGTATTTGATAATCAAATATCATAGGAGATATTTTGCTTAATATATCACTGACATCCATGCAATTTTGAACAGAAGTAGAGGTTTATCCCTGGCTTCCTATTTAAGGAGTTTTCAATTCAAAGGTCAGCTTCAACTCCATATAAGTCAACACAGTAAAAAAAACTACCGTGAGTGGATCTTGGGCTTTGTATTGGGTCAGCATTATTTAAAAGAAAAATGTATGCAAGCAAAATATCCTGAGCAGTTTGGGATCCAGTACTTATAGAGGACGTGGAAATAAGCCGTGTCGAGTTTAGTTTTATTGCATTTTTTATTTTATGATTTGGGGCAAAGATTTAACTGGTGTTGTAATCGGTCCTAACCCAAATACAGATTTTTTGAAATTGGATAAAATTAAATGGGGGTGGGGTAAATTATGAAGGAAACAAAAAAAAAAAAAAAAAAAGAAAAGAAAAGAAAAAAAGTTAGTTTCTGAATTAGTCTTGAATTGACGCTTTTAAAATACTTGTACTTTTTATCGGAGAAAAAAAAAAGAGCTTAGATACCCCACAAATTTATGGTCTATAATTTTTTTTAAAAGTTTAACCAACACTTCCAAGATTCTAGAAAGTATAAAAAAATTTTTCATCAAAGACATCTTTTGATTATTTATGTTAATGAAGTTTAGCGATAAAATTGTTAGTTTTTAATTATGTTGTACCTTTTTTCATCTTATCATTTATTTTATTTACTCACTTCAAATGCTGAGTGAATAATCTTATTTGAAATAGACAACCATTTTATTTTAAACTATTTAAAATTTTCCTTTCAATTTTAAATTTACCAAATTACATGTTGGTTCTCAATTACAATACATGCATCAGTTAGACAATATATTTCTGAAAGTACATTCTGTAAGTTTTCAAAATTCAATTTTATCTCCCGTACATGTGCAACAAATTTTTTTGAATTATATTTTTTTTTTGGGGGGGGGGACTAAATTCAAAACTATACAAATGAAAAATTCAATAATAGTTATAAACTCTGAATCTGACATCAGATAATGAAATAAACTAAACATCATGGCTCCTTATTAAATAAAAAAAAATTAAAATATGAGCGAGCCAGTATTTAATATGAATCTTTATTTGCCACATAAAAAAATTTTATACTAAAAATTTGAAGTTTTAAAACTAAAAGCAATGTTTTTGAACAAGGGTAAAAGAAATTGCCAAATTCTATCGAGATAGCCGATACAGCTATCATTTTTTTAATGCCGTGTAATGTTAGATCAGTAAAGAGATGAAACAGCCAAATAAAATTAAACGAAAAGCTTGACTAATAGTGGTGGCAAATTACAATTTTTAATTTAAATTGCAAATTAAAAAGCATTCTATATATTTTAAACAAGATAAACTTCATTAACTTTTTTTTTTTTACTACACGTTATCTTTTTCACATGGATAAAAATTGCGTTTAATTTAATGAAAGGCACTTAAAATATTGGTGCATGCATTAGCAGCTGGGACGATCTCTTATGAGCGTTAAATTATTTTTTAATTGTAAGATTCTCAAATTATATTACTGAGGAAGAAGAAAAATCTGAAATTTGTTAATTTTTACATTGAAGAGACTGATCATGGCGTCATCCAACAGGTTTTGTTTAAGAGAACATAAAGCAAGAAAAAACACGTATAACAGGCAGCAGTTATATTTAAAAAAAATGTCGCAAGTAAAACTGAAAAGTGTTAAATAATAACATTTACAGAAACAAACACAATTCATACCTGGTCGGCCCATATTTACTCAAAGAATAAACCCGCTATATCCTTTCTTTAAAAACTGTTCTCCACGTGCGTCAAACTAAAGGCCCATCGGTACAGCAACTTCCGGTATATATGTATACGACAGGAAATATTGGTTAAGCATGCGCAATAGAAGCAAATGCGTTTTCCGTTTTAAAAAGGACAGTTGTTTGCGCATATGTTATGACGGTTTTGAACGGATTACAAGTTCTGTATCATATCGAGAAAATTAAGGTAAAATACTTGTGGACGATCTAGAACATTACACAAAGAAAAACGACTACCAGTAAAATTCCATCATTTCCTGTAAAAACTTTGAAAAGTTGGAGGATTTGCAGCTCTTTCGTGAGTTAGGACAGGACTTATAAGATCAGAAGTTGCTGTAGGTGAGAATTCACACCGGGTCCCCACGTTTGCAATAAGTCGAAAACGCATATGAGTTGTGAAATTTCTCTCGATTTTAAATACCTCAGAAAACAAACATTCATATTTTAGATCTGTGCACTACACTAACTTTCTTTGAAAAAGAATTCAATTTTATTTAAAAAATCTTTTTATTTGAAAGATAGCCTAATAAAAAGTTAATCTGTAAAAAAAAAAAAAAATTTGTTCTTAAAAACTTTAGATTTTTTTTTTTTTTTTTTTTTTTTTTTTTAAAAAAAAAAAACTTGAATTAACCTTTTTTTTTTTTTTAAGGAGTTTGCTCAGTTCGATTAGTAGTGACTTTGTGGGACTCGAGAATAAAAACCAAAAAAAAAAAAAACTAGGTAGTGCCACGGATTTCCTATATAAAAACCCCATCAAAACATTTTTTTTAAATCATAATGCCTTCTCTGAACTTAAACTTCGGTTTTTATTTGAAAGACAATATGGGTAATTTGCAGTTTAAGCCCCGCGCTCAGGTTTTAATAAAAATGTCCCGAATAGTTACATTAGGAGTGAATGTAAACGACTTGATTCGAAAATAAGGAAGTTTTGTTCAGTTAAAATCTACCGTTTTGAAGTTATCAACAATAAAAGTTCGGACTTATTCTCAAAAGAAACAAGGTATGGATGGGAATACTGTGAGAAATTCTGCAATTAAAGCTAAGCTCCTATTGGCTAATTTGTGCCACACCGTATTTTTGTACCGACCAAGCTCTTTGGTTGAATTTTCCTTTGCCTTTTGCGGGCATTTTCAACTGCCCGTGCCTTTTTTTCAGTTGCTGCAAAATCTTCGAGATGACAGGACTCACATTGCAGGGCCTTTAGCACCCAAAATTAAGCCTAAATGACTAGGCAATTATTCTTCTTGTCTCATATTCGAGAGACTTTTTTTTAAGGCTGAATAATTCAGTTGGTTTATTGACTGTCGTCACATTATGTACTTTTACATGCAGAACCTTTCTGCATGCTCTCAACAAATAGCCGAGTTTTTATTTCAGCAACCAAATTGGTAATGCTCCTGTTTGACGACCGTCAAGTTCCTGCTTCTTCGAATCTGCATAGAGACCAGTTGAGTCCTACAGAGAAGAAAAATACTACCACTTCTTTGAAGTAACTACCCCACCCTATTCACAGGGGCGCAAAAGGGCATAATCTTTTTTGCAAAGACGAAATAAAATTTGTATTGAATTTTAAGGTAGGCTTTGTTTGAATTGTATGTCTTTTCTTGTCTCTGCCGGGGTTAAAAAAATGCCCACGAAAGGCAAAGCAAAATTCAACCAAAGAGCTTGGTCGGTACAAAAATACGGTGTGGCATAAATTAGCCAATAGGAGCTTAGCTTTAATTGCAGAATTTCTCACAATACATAATGGCCTGGAGGACAATACACTTCAACACTACTTGGATATTGTCATGTAGTATAGCATGGCAAAGAAAAGAGTAAGCAGAGAAAAAAAAAATTGTAGAGGCTGAAATAATTCAGAGAATTAAGGAAAAAAAGGTAACGGAAAAAAGGAAAGGTCCCAAATACAGAAAAGACTAAATGGAATACTTCACACCAGTTTTGCTATTTTGGCAGAATTCCTGGATTTGACAAGATTTTCTAGATAGCATCTACAAAATCTTAAGTGGTGATATTGTTGAATTCTAATTCTACAGCATTACAAATAGCTAAAAATAACTTGTTTAATTTTTGTGCAAAAAAAACAAATTTTTGATCAGACATGCGTGTGTGTAATTATGTGCATTCACTGCACACAAGCAGATATGGGCACTTTCTTTTGTCAGAATTAATAACGGTAGCATAATTAGAAAAAAGTTGGGTTTAAGTGCTTATATGGGAATAAGAAAGGACAAGAATGGCCATATTTTGGTTTCGGATGCAAAAGTTATCACAATGAAAGATTTCTGTCGCAGACAAGCTTTGTGCTCCAAAAGACAATCAGATTAGTGTTATTAGTCATGCGGTGCGTAATGTTTGCTGCTGATTGACCCATTCACACCGGTGTCATGCGAGATCATGTGTGAATGAGGGGTGTCAAGCATGCATACATCAAGCATCCCAAATGGGGTAGAGGTTTCAGGTAGCCTACTTTTATTTCAGGATTTAACTCTCATACCATGTTTTTAAAAAGGATCTTTTAATGTTTCAATGCAGGCATGCATTTATTCCATGTATTTTTGTATTTGCACAGTCAAGTAAATGTAAAGGCCATTTTAGAAGGGATTTATAGAGCTACATGTCAAATTTTATCAGTAAAAAAAAAGGTGAAACTGCTGCTTTTTAGGTGTTTGCAGCCCATTTAGCCTGCTAAAGCATAGGATTGAATTCAGTGAGCAATCACTAACACATTTCATGCCACCACTTTTATGCCAAGTGGACAGAATTGGCTCCCCTCATTTGTTCAATTTTTCACATTTGATTGCATTTTTTCATTCAAGGAGACACCAGGGGGCTGTTATGTCTTTTCATACTGTTTATGTGTCGCAAAAGGCACCTACTCGCTATAATTTTACTACTGCACATTGCTGCCCAAAAAAAAGTTCTTGCACGTTTTCATCTAAATTCATGCTACTTAAATGCCTTCATCATCCATCAGTAAATGAAATTAACATTGCTTCAAATTTTGTTCGTAAGAAGTGTAAAAATGCTTGTATTTTCAACTTTTGATCAATAAAACTACCTCATATCTCCTGGCTGCTCAAAATTTTCAAAGAAAAATGAAGCTTGAAAATCCCATTTTCTGATTGGCTGACTTTGGGAGACTGCGCTACATTGGTGACAACGTAAATCAAAAAGGCAATGCCTATTTTGGGATAAGGAACTACATAGCTTTTATATTTATCAATAAAAAACCCAATACAATAAAGTTGCCAGATACTATTTTGAAACATCATTCGCCACTGTGCACTTCATTGACTAACCCAGTTGGAGGTTCAGGGTTGCTGTGAGCTCATTGGCACGGTTGCAAGCATTTAACCTTGGGCCCATCCAATCATACGCGCAAGCAGTTCTCTTATGCATGTGCGTGCATGTGTGTACATACATACGTATGTCACCTTAGTATGTGCGCTCAGAGTCAACCGGCCATCCACCTCTTTATACCATAACTCACGTGTGTTCTCACTTTTGCGATTACTGTCCCACACTTGGCTCACTTCATTCGCTTTTTACAGAAACCACAATTTGTTGATTACGTATTCAAACTGGTTTTTTTTTTACTTCTTAGTTATAACTGCATCCGTTACCGCGTTTATCGAATTTACTTCCCAAATTACCTACTACCATTTTAGCTTTAGTTGAATTTTTTTAAACTTCACTTTTTTTGTCTTTGAGCCCCGTTTGATAAAGTTACATACATTTTTGGGGTCTCTCTAACCTGCCTATGTTTAGACTACACATATTTTTTGCACTCAAAAAACCTACATACCTTTTATTACGTTTGCCTTTTTAAAATTGGTTAAAATGCTGCCTAAGAGAAGAAAACTTTTTGGAAGGCACACGGCTGCTGTCTCCGCTACAAGAGCAGCAAGGGCAAGTGAAACCACAGAGCAAACTTTGTTGCACCTTTCTCAGATGGCCTCACGCTCTGCTGCCCGCATCCCCACAGAAAGTACTGCTGAAAGGCTGGCATCAGTTATGTCATCATGACGCACTAGACTTTCAACTGAAGAGCGTTTAGTACAGAATTTACAGGATGCAATACACATTTTTAGAGCCAGGACTTCCGAGTCCCTAACACAGACAATGCTTTGGCATTTAAGGAATGTCAGCGCTACAGCACGTTCTAGAGCTTTAGAAAGCCCTGAACAAACCACTTTGTGTTGTCTTAGAGGGCTAGGGCTACAGCTGGGCTACAGCATCTTCCAGGGTTTCAGAACAACCTCAACAAACTGCTATTCGTCGTTTAAGAAATGCCAGCGCTACTGCATCTGCTAGAGCTTTAGAAAGTCCCGTGTAGACTGCTATTCGTCGTTTGAAGAATTCCAGATCTACTGCGTCTGCCAGAGCTTCAGAAAGCCCTGGGGTACGGCGAGCACGGCTCAATAACAATGGCCAAATCGCAAGGACAGACACTCAGTGTCATGGGTTTGCATTTAGGTGAACAGTGTTTCAGCCATGGACAGCTTTATGTAGACTGCTCCCAAGTCGGGAGTAAGGATAACATTTACATTTAATCTCCAACAAACAAAGCTAAGTTCTATAGCCCATGGTCGGTAACGTTTAAACGCAATGTACACATCTTTATGTCAGCTGCATCATAGGTTCCTTCATTTTTGAACACGGTTTATTTAAAGGTCATTGTAGTATCCACTTGCCATTATTAAGACATTTCATTAAAGGTTGTCTTGCTCACCAGATGCTCCCTTATCACTTAAACCCCACCATAGCTGCATTCGCACTTACATGTCAGCCATGTAACCATATTCAGTTGCAACACAAAACCAATACGTGGGAAGGTGGATTTGTTTAATTGCTAGAGAAGGCGAGTGCGTCCACGCAATTCAGGCCTCAGCAAAAAGAAGTGGGATAATAAAAGAATAGCAGCATGCAGAGTTATAATATGCAT